TCCAAGTCTCATTCTCACCTCCATGCACTAACTTGCACAAGCTAGCTATCTAGCCAGTCTGTGTTTGTTTGTGTGTGTATGGTAGGGTAAGTAAATTTGTCTGTCTGTCTGTTTCATTGTCTACTCTTTTCTCTTCCTCTCTTCTGTTTCCATTTTCCATCCTCTCTACTTTGTTCTTCCTCTTTTCTTCCTACTCTTCTCTATATTAAAAAAAAACAACATTTCTTTCACTATCACTACCCAGCAACACCATTAGAATTAATCAATTTACCTGAGATTTATATATTACCTATACCAAAATTACACCAGAAATATCCTGGTAGAATATGGAACTTTCCTTAATGGAAATCTATTACAAAGAAAATAATTCATCATATCAAACCTATTAGTTTCTCTATCATGTATCTATATTGTCATTACTTGAATGTACTCTTTCCAAGTGTTTTGTCAGATCCCGTTTTTCATTATAAGCTTTGGGACATAAACGACAGGCATATCTCTTGATCTGTAAGTGCCTGATCATGTGATCTTTTAGTTTATCTGCACGAGCAAATGACTTAAAGCATACATTACATATATGACGCTGGGCTTCTGTGTTGTGTGTCTGAAAGAATATTAAAATTAAAATGACTTTAACTCCTATAAAACCAAATAATTTCATATAAAACTAAAATTTCTAAAGAAATATAATATTTCTTAAGAATGTAAAAACATTGTTAAGTATTTTACATCACTGTCCACCTACTTAATATAAAATAAAATATTCTGTAGATTTCAGAATAATAATGTATATTTTACCTAATTACCATTATATCTGAAGACAACTATGTAACACTAGAAACATTCTATCAATTCCCAAATGACATGATTTACTTCAGGTCAATAAACTACCAATATCTGTCTCAAGAAAATCACAATTATATACTGTGTGTATATTATATAAGAAGCTGAAATGTGAATTTACTTACTCTCATGTGAGTATACAAGTTGCTGGATCTACTAAAACTTTTCTTGCAAGTTTCACATTTGTAAGGTTTTTCTCCTGTATGAATTCTCTTGTGTTCTCTACAATATTCTGTTCTTGAAAATGTTTGACCACAAATCTGTAATCAGAATAGATTGTTTTAATAATGTTTTTTGCAATAAACATCAATAACTATGAAAACTAAACAAGTGATATAACATTTTTGTGTGCAGGTGTTTACTTACAGAAGCACAAAAAAGTCTATCCAGTAGCTGATTTGTACTAATGAATTACAATAAAATCAATATATTAAGTAAACATTTTTCAAAAACATAAATACATATGCTTGGATGCAAACATATATGCAAACATGAAACTAGAGCACACAAGTAAACACTTGCCTCACAAGCACTTCCACGTAAGCCTTTGTGAATGTCCATATGTCTCTGAAATGCTGCATTTGTTCTTAAACTCTGGCCACAGATACCACAAATAAACTGTAAATCTGCATGGCATTCACGGACATGGTCACACATCTCCTCTTCAGAACTGATTGTCTGCAAGAAAAAAAATTACAGTCAAATATTTAAACATATAACATATTGCATATAGCAGAACTTTACAAATACTTCAAAAGAAATTAATATAATACCTTCATCATTCAAATTTATTTTAACATTAATAAGAAAAGGATGTATTATCTGGAAAAAAAACACAAAACACAAGTTTAATTCCTTTCATTCTCACCTTTGTGCAAGTATGACACCACTTGACCTGGCTGTGTATACGTGAGAGGTGAACTTTTAGGCTTCCTGCAGATGGGAATTCCTTCTCACAGATCCCACACCATGTGCTTGTATTGAGATCCTCTGGTCCAAGCTGTGAAGGCAAAAATATCTCAGCAAATTCTACAAAAATAGCTATCAAAATTCATGAAGATTTTAGAAGAGGGTTAACAGCTACTCATACCATACTATTTCGTACAAATTGCCTTTGCCAAGTGTACCCCACTTATTTCTAACTATATATGAGAAATCCAATATTGGTACTAATTTTGCAAACAAAAATTTAACAAATAAAAAGTAGATAAAGGAAAGTCATTGACAAAAGAATTATACAGTAACAGCAATAATAGGAACATATAAACACATACAAATATACCAAAGCAAACACATTTATAAAAATATTTCAAAATAATACTGACCTTTACAATATCTGTGAGTATTGTACCTCCAGCACTGCCATGTGCTGGAGTCTTTGCCTGAAGAATTTTGGGGGTATTCAAACACTTCACTGAAGATTTCAACAAAGGCCTCCCTGAAAAAATTATACATTTCTTAATACTTTAAGAAAAAAAGAATATGACGGTCAGGATTCCCTTTCACAACTATTTTCAGGTTTTCACAACCATCATGTTATGAAAAAATTCAGCTTGAGAGGCAGGTGACGTGAATATGGGAAAATCTGGCTGTGAGCTGGGGTGACACAAACTTGCCATCGGTTGAAAGCCGGCTTGATGGGAAGACTCACCATGAGTGTACAAACTTCCTGGAGGGTGATCAGACTCATTTGGTGTTAAGAAAGGGGCTTTTGAATTATTTCCAACGATAAAGAGTGTGAATGTAGTGTTTGTGATCCATGATTTGAATAATGCTGGTTTCAGGGAGGATGCCATTGCTATGCTCAGCATCCTATTCCTAGCCACTGTAACCAGCAGCACATAGGATGTATTACTGAAAATTGAATATTACGAAAAACAAATTTAATAACACAAATAATAAAATGTCACTTACTGTTATTATTCTTCACTGAGTTATAGACATGAGAGATGATATGGAGTCTGTGCAAGGAAAAGTCAATTACCATCAGGATAAAGCAAAGCAAATGATAAATATGGACTTTGGAAAATGGCAAGAAAGCTAAAAAACATTAATGCATAAAAAGAGATAATAGCATTGCAAAGGGGAAGCACAGAGTCCTATCACTGCACACTTGTGTTCACATGCACCCAGCCTATAAGCCACACACCCATCAGAGTGGTCGCTCACGCAAGCCTAATGCCCATATTTTGGGCAGTGTGATTGCTGTGAAGCACCTGGATCCAAGGGTTAAATCAATGAACATGTAAACTGTTAGAACATCTACATATTTCCCATAAAATGTCAATAACTAACATAAAAAAAATCACTGTGTGATTACAAAATATAAACCAAAATACCTTCAAAACTTGGGATGTCAGGAGCCACTACCATTTCCTCTTGACTAGCATTTGCAATGCGGACCTGGCTGTCTTGCTCCTGCTCCTGCAGCGTGAGGGACTCCAGGTGGTCAGGGGCTCTGTGGTCTTCCTCTTTTGTGTTATTGATTTCAATCATGGCTCGCTCAACAGGTTCTTCTACAGAATCTTTTGAAGAGGCATTTTTGCTTAGAACTCGACTGACTAACTGGAGTGCTCCACAGGAATTCATGGTATACACAGAGTACATCAGACCATCTGAATGTGTGGCATCTGAACCTTCCTGAAATGAAGTTCCTTAAAGTGAGCTTTAAAACAAACTTTAAGTCTGTTTATATGCAGAAATCATTTATAACAAATATAACTCTATAAACATTCCCCTATCCCATCCTATAGGATACATGGTATGTAAAACTAGTCACATGCAAAATAATTCCAAACAAACTCATTCTTGTATGAGGCACAATGAGACATAACAGGCACATAATATACTCTGCAAATAATCAAATATAAAAAGACTCTAAGGATATAAACTGAAATCAATCAGAGCATATAAGTCTTACCAAATGATCCAAGAGAATCTCGCCTTGGCCTTCTTCAAGTTGCGTAGAGTTTGCATAGTCAAGGTCCATATTTTCATCTAAAGCTGTCTGTAGTGGAGTTGCCAGGACACATTTGTCTAATTGAGAATCAGTCCCTATACTTGGATCTTGCATCTTTGCAATATCTTTAGAATCTATATCTTTGAGAGAAACATTCACATCCATGTCAACCTGATCACAATGTGATGATCCTGCACTTACAGAATCTGAGACACAAGGAATTTCTTGCTTTAAATGAAGCAGAGGTGTTGGACTCAGAAAATGTGAAAGTTCTGCTGCTGCACATGACTTCTCTTGAGAATCAACATTTTTATCTTTCCCTAGTAAAGGAACTGTCTTAAGGTGGTCAGACAACAGACCAGGACAATTACAAATTGAACACTGAGAAACAATTTCTGTTTGGACCTCTGCATCACAGACTGGTAGAAGTGATTCATCTAGTTTCACTACCAGATTCTGGAAAATGAAGAGATAATGAAAAGGATCATTACTGAAGCAATGACTGAGAAACATTAAATATAAAGCATAATACCAGATGCCAAAAATAAAGAGCTATTTCCAAGAAATTGGTAATTCAGACAAACACATATATGTACATTATCTCAAACTATTTCATCAAACAAATATTCTATAACAGACAGCAAGTCTGTATATTTAAAGTAAAAGATTTGAGACTGAATTTTAAAAAATCCTAAGTAAACAAAACAACTCCTAAAAAGAAATTAAGAAATTTAAGAAATTAACCAAGTTATTTAACCTTTCTGATGAATCCTTTCATAATAAAAAGCATGCATCCTTTGTTTTCTTATCAGTGTCCACAGTTAGAGCACTATATGGAATATATGCTCGGTAGTTAGACAGTGAAAATGCTGTCATACTGGCATAATGGCTGAAGAAATTATTTGCTGATCACATTTATTTGAAAAGTAAAAAGTTTATCAAGATAATAAAAAAATATATATATATTTGGCAAAATGAGCAAAAGTATTGGTACATCAAATTTTCTGCCATTACCCTGAAGGTCTTTTGATTATGTTGACATAGTGCTGAACAAAATTATTCTTGTGTACACTATTCTACACATAAAAAATATGTGATAACTTACCCTCATGTTTGTTATAAGCTGAACTAGATTAGTAGCTAAAGATGTCTGGATTCGTTCAGTGAACCCTTTCATTTCCAGGAACTGCACAGTGTA